ACATTGAAGCTAAATAGCATGTTATTAAACAATGAATGGATTATCAAGGAAGAAATTAAATATTTCCTGGAAACCAATGAAACTGAACACACAACAACACAAAATCTATGGGATGCAGTAAAAGCAGTTCTGAGAAGAAAGTTCATAGCACTACAGGCCTACTTCAAGAAACAAGAAAAAATTTCTAATAGACTAACCTTACAACTTACAAAACTAGAAAGCAAACAAAAAGAAAACCCCAGAGCAAGTAGAAGGAAGGAAATAGTAAAGATTACAGTAGAAATAAATGACATGGAGACCCAAAAAACAATTCAAAGGATCAATAAAACAAAGAGCTGGTTTTTCAAAAAGATAAACAAGATTGATGGACCATTAGCTAGACTCACCAAGAAGCAAAGGGAGAGAACCCAAATACACAAAATCAAAAATGAAGCAGGAGAAATAATAACTGACACTACAGAAATACAAAGAATTTTTAACAAATATTTTGAACAATTATATGGCAACAAATTTGACAATCTAAGAAAAATGGACAAATTTCTAGAAACACATAGTCTCCCAAAACTGGACAGGGAAGAGATAGAAAATTTGAACAGACCAATAAAAACTAAGGTAATTGAAGAGGTGATCAAGACTCCCAGCAAACAAAAGCCCAGGTCCTGATGGCTTCACAGGGGAGTTTTACTGAACATTCAAAAAAGAACTAACACCCATTCTCCTCAAACTATTTCAAAAAATTCAAGAAGAAGGAAGACTTCCAAACTCATTTTATGAGGCCAGCATAATTCTAATTTTAAAAACAGAAAAAAACACTACAAAGAAAGAAAATTACAGGCCAGTATCCCTGATGAACATAGATGTCAAAATCCTAAACAAAATACTAACAAATCAGATCCAGCAATATATCAAAAATATTATTCACCATGACCAAGAGGGATTCATCCCAGGGATGTAAGGTGGGTACAATATTTGCAAATTAATAAATGTGATACACCACATAAATAAAATGAAGAATAACGACCACATGATCATATCAACAAATGCTGAAAAAGCATGTGACTAAATCCAGCACCCATTTCTGATAAAAATGCTCAGCAAAGTGGGAATAGAGGGATCATTATCTTGACATAATAAAGGCCATATATGAAAGACCTATAGCCAACATCATACTCAATGGGCAAAAATTAAAAGCATTTCCCTTAAAAACAGGAACAAGACAGTGATGCCCACTTTCACCACTCTTATTTTACATAGTACTGGAAGTCTTAGCCAAAGCAATCAGACATGAAGAAAAAATAAAAGGGATCCAAATAAGAAAGGACAAAGTGATACTGTCATTATTTGCAGATGACGGCAAAAAAGCTTAAGATACCTAGGAATAAACTTAACCAAAGAAGTAAAGGGCCTATTTGCAGAAAACTACAGGTCATGGGAAAAAGAAATAGAGGAAGATATAAAAGAGTGAAAGCACATACCTTGTTCATGGATTGAAGAATTAACATCATTAAAATGTCCATACTACCGAAAACAATCTATAGCTTCAATACAATCCCCATCAAAATACCAATGACATATTTCACATAACTAGAAAAAATACTTCAAAAGTTCATATGAAACCATAAAAGACCCCAAATAGCCACAGCAATCTTGAAAAAGAAGGACAAAGTAGGTGGGATCACAGTACTAAATAGCAGATTATACTACAAAGCTACAGTAATCAAAACAGACTAGTACCGGCACAAGAACAGGCATATAGATCAGTATCAGTGGAACAGATCAGACAACCTGGAAATGGACCCAAGACATTATGCTCAATTAATATTTGACAAAGGTGGCAAGCGCATACAATGGAGTAAAGACAGCCTCTTCAATAAATGGTGTTGGGAAAATTGGACAGCTACATGCAAAAAAAAAAAAATGAAACTAGACCATCAACTTACACCATACACAAGTATAAACTCAAAATGGGTAAAATACTTAAATGTGACTCATGAATCCATAAAAATTCTAGAAGAAAATGTAGGCAACAAAATTTCGGACATTATACGCAGCAGAATTTTCACTGATACATCACCTAAGGCAACAGAAACAAAGGAAAAAATAAACACAATGGACTACATCAAACTCAAAAACTTCTGCTCAGCAAAAACTATAATCATCAAATTGGAATGGCAACTCACTATATGGAAGAGCATAATTGCCAATGATATATCAGATAAGGTGTTAATTTCCAAAGTATATATAGAGTAGTCATACAACTCAACAAAGGGAAGACAAAAAACCCAATTAAAAATGGGCAGAGGACCTAAATAGACACCTCTCCAAACAGGACATACAACTGGCCAAGAGACATATGAAGAAATGCTCAACATCACTAATCATCAGAGAGATGCAAATTAAAACAACAATGAGGTATCACCTCACACCTGTCAGAATGGCCACCATCAACAAATCATCAAAGAAAAAGTGTTGGCGAGGGTGTGCAGAAAAGGGGATTCTAGTACACTCCTGGTGGGAATGCAGACTGGTGCAGCCACTATGGAAAACAATATGGTGTTACCTCAAAAAATTAAACATTGAACTTCCATTTGACCCAATGATCCCACTTCTAGGAATATACCCTAAGAAGCCTGAAACACCAATCAGAAAGAGTATATGTACCCCCATGTTTGTAGCAGCACTATTTACAATAGCTAAGATCTGGAAACTGTCCAAGTGTCCATCATTAGATGATTAGATAAAAAAGCTGTGGTACATATTCACAATGAAGTACTATGCTACTGTAAGAAAGAAAGATCTCATCCTTTAAGATGACATGGTGGGACCTGGGAAATATTATCCTAAGCGAAACAAGCCAAACAGAGAAAGACAAATATCACATGATCTCACTTATTTGTGGAATATAATGAATATAACAGTCTGGGGAATTGGGTGGACCCAGAGACATCAAAGTAGGGTACAGACTGACAACCCTCAGAAGAGGGGGTGATATGGGGAGGGGAGAGATAAACCACAGAACTTATATGCTTGTACACATATTCAGTGGACACAGACAACAAAGTCGGGTATGGGGTGGAAGAGATGGGGAGGAGGGTGTCAATGGGGAAAAAAATGAGAAATATCTATAACATAAATAAATTAATAAAAAATAATTTTAAAAAGAATAAAGAAATAATTAATTTATCAAAAATATATATAGGATGGCATTTTCACAGAAAATTAAATGAATTACTCTATGATCTTAAAAATTTACTTTTGGAAATATACCCCGAATAATTGAAAGATATTTGTACACTCATGTTCAGAAGAGCATTATTCATAATAGCCAAAGAGTGGAAACAACCCAATGTCCATTAATAGATTAAAGGACAAAGTATGGTGTACACATATAATGGAATATTATTCAGCCTTAAAATAATATAAAATTCTGATACATATGTGAACTTGAAGGCTTTATTTTAGGTAAAATAAGTCAGATATAAAAGAGCAAGTATCATATGATTCTACTGCTACGAGGTACCTAGAATAGCCAAATTTATAAAAACAGAAAGTAAAATAGTGAATACCAGGGGATGCAGGAGGACAAGGAGTTACTGTTTAACAGGTACAGATTTTCATTTTGAAATAATGTAGAAGTTCTGGAGATGGATAGTGGTGAAGTTTGCACAATAATGTGAATGTCTTAAATGCCAATAAAGTGCACATTCTGAAATGTTTAAAATGATATAAATTTTATGTTACATATTTTTTACCACAATGAAATGGACAATGTTAGAAACATTTTTTAAAGCCTGAGGAAATGAAAAGATCACCATCTGTCATGTTTCAGAGCCAATTTGGAGAGATTCCGTGAAGACTGAAAAAGCTCCTTCAGACTTACTGAATTCCTCATTGCAATGATGAGCTCGCATGATCTCTTTTTAAATTTGACACTTTATGTTAACTATCTCTTTGGTTCCAATCTAGCTTTTTCTATTTGGCACCATCAACATTTAATTTTTTTTTTTTGGTCATTCCTCACAAAGCTGTGTCCAAGAGGGGTTTGATAACTGGTATGGATAAGGATACTTTGGAAGACCCCCCACTCACCCCTTTCATCCCAAGAACCATCTGACAGAAACACTCACCTTTTTCTTTCATGTTTTACTTCTTCCTGTAGTACCTCAATTTATTCCCATCTAGTGATCAAATATCTCCTGTCTTGTTCTAAGTTTTTCCTTTGCTTCACCGATAACTTTCTTCAAAATATAATCCAAATTCTTAGCATTACTTTTGTTAGCAGACTACTGTTTATCCCACGACACGCAGGCCCCCAGCTGCGCCCTCTGATTTTATGATGTTCAGTGAACTGAAGAGGAAAGAACTGCACCATCCAGACTCCCATCATCACTGCCCCAAACCCACTGTGGCCGTTGTTGCAGCTTCATCAGTGAGTTCTAATGACTAAAGGACACTATTCAGGCTTTACTTTGCCTGACCCTTCCTGGAATTTGACACCTTTGACCATTTCCTCCTTCTGGAACATTTCCCCCCACTTTGTTTCCTTTCGAGGCTATGCTGGCTCCCTTCAGTAGCTGTGCAGCGAAGGACTGGCTTTGAGGGTACAGATGCAGCTATCTCACTTCGGTTGGGACTGCTCAGGCAGGCCGTCCTGTTCCAGAGGTCCAGGAGGAGTCAGGTTTGACTGCAGGCCTCCCGCTCCTTCTGGCCAGTCTTTCCTTCTTTCCAGCACCCTGTCTGGCGCATGTTAGATGCACTGTTGAGAGACCTTCACTTTTACTCTCACAGTTTCAAAGAACACAAAGATACTCACCTTAGACTTTGCTCTTGATGCTTCACTGTCTCTCATCAAAAATGTGTTTCTCTCTCCAGAAGGTACTGAGTAAACAGTATCAATATCAATGCCTACCATAGTTCCTATCTATTCTCTCCTGCCATCTGCCTGCTGCCTGTACCTCAATCACTGTGCTTGTCACATCCCAGACAGAATAGTGTCTTACCTTGTGGATATTGTCAGTGATGTTAAAGCCATCAATGAACACTTGCCCAGTGGTAGCAATCTCTTCTCCAGTCAAAATATGGAAGGCACTCGTTTTTCCAGCTCCATTGAACCCCAGCAATCCAAAACATTCCCCCTTTTGGATTGTAACGGAGATATTTTTCACAGCCAGAACGACCGGATAATTAAAATATATCTAAAAAAATCAATATAGTAAAGAATATTTATAGGTCAGGTACAATAAATACCCAGACCCTCATGGACCACTACCTTTAGACAATTTCACAAAAATTATTCTATTAAACTGAAAAAATACACATAGGTCCCAAATAACTACAGTGATCCCTGGACACCAATGACATGCTCTGAGGCAGGAAATTAAGGCCACTTATGCTGGCCGTGAATGATGTTACCTTTGTGAGCTCCTTAATAAGTACTGCAGAATTTAGCACCTCCAGAGGCTGCCCCAGGATTCTCTTTCTTTCATTTTCTACATCGTCATCGTCACATTCTCCAGATAACTCCTTAGACACTTTTCCCTATATTTTCAAGACAAGAATCACAGAAGTGGCTGCTCTTTAGGCCTCTGGTCTAGACTGGACAGCTTCATAGAAGCTAAACTGGATGATAAAATCTCAAAGATGTCAAAACAGAAGGTTTGAGTCAATTCAAGAAATTTCTGGATATCAGCTCAACATCTCATATGCACCTTGACTGAGTTTTAAATAATAGTTTATCACTAGAATGAATGACAAATTACTTCACATACTAGAAAAAGCGTGAATTAACATGCTAATTTGTGCTCAGCGGTTGGAGCATCAGCCTGCGGACCAGAGGGTACCGGGTTTGGTTCCTGCTAGGGGCGCGTACCAAAATATAAAAATAAGTAGTAATAATTTAAATCTTTTAAAAGACAGAATTTAAAGTATTCAGATAAATGGTTTTTTGTTGTTGTTGTTGTTATTGTTTGTTTTTTTATCACTTGGATCCTTATCCAAGGGAGTAAGAAACTCTAAAAAACACATTCATGAATTTGAAATAATAAATACATTTTGCCAAAATTAAACTTCAGTGGGAGCTGAGAAAATCAGCAAGACTTAACGAGACTTTTCCTAAGAAACTCATTGACTCTATGTCCTATATTTTCAAGGTATATATTACAAGATAATAATATTATTTAGTGTTCTTGACTAGACCAAGTAACTTTTGGAAATAGATATCAAGATACTAGAACAGAAATTTTGCATAATTTTAAAGATAACTTTGTCCTATCACTTCAGAAAACATTGATATTTTTATTTTTACATATTAAGAAATTTGAATTATATTGCCTGTTGTTTTGTCCAGAAATGGACACCTCATGAAAAAAATGAAGTCACAGCTGAGATCAATCAAGTGTGATTTACTACATTCACAGTATGTTCAACATTAAAAGACTAAAGAAAAGTTAACTTTCATTTATGAGAGAGAGAGAAATAAATCACTAAGATCTCAAATAGAAAAATTTTAAGACTAATAGAATGGCAAAGTGAGGAGATCTGTGGACCTGTGACCTAGAAAAACTGGGGAAAATTATTTAAGTAATAACCATTTAAAGCCTTTGTAAATGATCTTAAGGGCATACAGAAAATAAAGAAGTATTTATTCAATGAATTCTACTAAACTTCGTGAACAATAAAATCCTGTGTTATTTGAATAATGACCCACCCCTCTCTCCCTTCCTCAGCACAGAACTTCACTCCAGGCAGGTGCAGCCAAGAACAGAGGGATCTCTATTCCCTCACCTTACAACCAAGGGCTAAGGTATCTTCCTGGGAGAGAAAGACATCAGCATTTTTCATCCCATTTCCCAGCTGTTTGCGGAAGAGGCTGTGTTCTAGGGAGTGTACTTGAAATCTCGGGGCTTCCTTCTTCTACTCAACCTCTACCCATTGAGTGGAGGATCTCCCTTGGGTGTGGTGTGGTATTTTGGACCTAACTCATTCTTAGGACAGAGGCCTCATGATGGAAGTGGCAAGCCAAGAAAACCAGAAGATTATTGTCCTCCACCAAACACTCTGAAGCAGGGATATCACTCAAAAGAGAGGCACACACCATACAGAAGAATCCACTCAAAGTGGAATGAAGATTTAAACATAAAACCTGAAAATGTAAAACTCCTCAAAGAAAACAAAATGGGAAAACTTTTTGATGTTGGTCTTGCAATACATTAAAAAAATAATAATTTTACACCAATAGCAAAAGCAACTAAAGCAAAACAGATAAGTGTAACTTGGCAGCGAAACAGCAGTAGAATGTTAGCAGTGATCAGACCTCAGTTCAGTACTTGAATTCTGGCTAAGAAAGAAATCAGAGTCAAGACTCAAACTATAAGAGAAAGTTTATTTAGAAAGTCATAGAGGTAGAAGAAGTGGGCCGTAGAAGAAATGGGTTCAGGAAACAAGTTACAGAGGCAAAGGAAGGGCCCTTTGAGCTTAGGAGAGAAAAAGGTAAAGGCAATGCACCTAGAGGGAAGAAAGAGAGAAAAGGTGACAGTGCGCTCCCTGGAGAGAGCACACTGCATCCTCTGTCCTGAGGACTTTAAAGAGCAGAAATTTTAGGGGAGGTCACAGGGGAGGGTCTCAATAGAACATTCATCAGCTTTTCCAGATATGCCTTTTTGGGGTTGTGGTCTCCACTGGTTGGTCAGCGTCAGGGTCATTAGTCAGTGCAGCTGGTCCTGAGGCAGCCATGGCATCTCTTGTCTGGTTTGGGGGCTTTTCTCGGCCTGGGACTGAAACACAACTGAGACCTAGATGTTAATGCTTAAGGGAGTGGTCATGCAAGGCCCTGTATGGGGATTGTAAAGGCTATTCTCCTACCCCTTGTTCCTCCTCAAAGGGGATCTTAAACCACATGACCAACAATACGCCAGGAAAAAAAAAAATCAGGAGAGGGCCTGAGCCACATCATGAATACTATGAAAGGTCAGGTGGTTTAAAACACATGACTAGTAACATGCTAAAGGAGGAAAGGCCATGATGAGGGGCAAAGTCCTTGTTTTCCCAGTTTTGCCCATTGCTAGGCGACTGGAGCTTTCTGCCCTTGTGACCTTCTGTATCTGGTCCATCTTTCTTACTCACCTCATGACTGTCTAACTGCCACACATCACTACAACAAAGTAAAAATCTTCTGCACAGGAAATAAACCATCAACAGTTTGAAAAGGTAAACTATGAAATGGAAGAAAATATTTAGAAGCATATATCTGATAAACAATTAATACTCAAAATATATAAGAATCTCCTAGAACTCAATAGCAAAAATCAAATTTTATTTTATTTTACTTTTATTATTTTTTAATTAATTTCTATAATTTTGTTACAGATGTTTCTTCTCCCCCCCCCCCACTGATTCCCCACCTCCCCCACCATCCCCACCTTGTCCCCAGCTTTGTTGTCCATGTCCATTGTTCATGCATACATGCATATAAGTTCTGTGGTTTATCTCTCCCCCGCCACCCTCTCTTCTGGGGATTGTCAGTCTGTACCCCACTTCCAAATCTCTGGGACTACCTCATTCCTCAGACTGTTAGGTTCATTAAAATCCACAAATATTTGTCTTTTTCTGCTTGGCTTGTTGCACTTAGGATAATACTTTCCAAGTCCCTCCATGTTGTCTCAAAGGATAAGAGATCTTTCTTACAGCTGCATAGTACTCCATTGTATATATGTACCACTGCTTTGTTATCCATTTGTCTACTGATGGACACTTGCGCTGTTTCCAGATTTAGCTATTGTAAATAGTGCTGCTATGAACATCGGGGTACATATGTTCTTTCTGATTGATGTTTCAGGCTTCTTACGGTATATTCCTAGAAGTGGGATCACTGGGTCAAATGGCATTCAATTTTTAAGTTTTTGAGGTAACACTGTATTGTTTTCCATACTGGCTGCATTCCCACCTGCAGTGTACTAGAGTCCCCTTTTCTCCACACCCTCGCCAACACTCGTTTGATGATTTGTTGATGGCGACCATTCTGACAGGGTGAGGTGATACCTCATAGTTGTTTTGATTTGCATCTCTATGTTGAACATTTCTTTATATGTCTCTTGGCTATTTGTATGTCCTGTTTGGAGAGGTGTCTATTTAGCAGCTCTGGCCATTTCTTAACTGGGTTCTTTGTCTTCCTTTTGTTGAGCTGTATGAGCACTCTATATATTTTGGAAATTAACCCTTACCTGATCTATCGTAGGCAATTATGCTCTCCCATAGAGTGGGTTGCTTTTCCATTTTGGCGATTGTTTCTATTGCCATAAGAAGCTTTTGAGTTTGATGTAGTCCCATGTGTTCATTTTCTCCTTTGTTTCTGTTTCCTTAGGTGATGTATCAGTGAAAATTCTGCAGTGTAGGATGTCTGAAATTTTGTTGCCTATATTTTCTTCTAGGATTTTTATGGATTTATGAGTCACGTTTAAGTCTTTTATCCATTTTGAGTTTACTCTTGTGTATGGTGTAAGTTGATGGTCTAGTTTTATTTTTATTTTTTGCATGTAGCTGTTTAATTTTCCCAACACCATTTATTAAAGAGGCTGTCTTTACTCCATTGTATGCGCTTGCCACTTTTGTCAAATATTAATTGAGCATATTGCCTTGGGTCCATTTCTGGTTTCTCTATTCTGTTCCATTGATCTATCTGCCTGTTCTTGTGCCAGTACCAGGATGTTTTGATTACAGTGGCTTAGTACTATAACCTGAAATCTGGTAATGTGATTCCTCCTACATTGTTCTTCTTTTTGAAGAATACTGTGGCTGTTCAAGGTCTTTTTTGGTTTCATATGAACTTTTGAAGTATTTGTTCTAGTTCTATGAAATATGTTGTTGGTATTTTGATGGGAATTGCATTGAATCTATAGATTGCTTTGGGTAGTATGGACATTTTAATGATGTTACTTCTTTCAATCCATGAATAAGGTATGTGCTTCCACTTTTTTATATATTCCTCCATTTCTTTTTTCAATGACCTGTAGTTTTCTGCGAATAGATCTCTTTTTTTTTGGTTAAGTTTATTCCTAGGTATCTTAATTTTTTTTTGCTGTGATGGTAAATGGGATTTTTTTATTAGTTTCTCTTTCTGTGAGTTAATCATTGGTGTATAAAAATGCCCTCAATTTCTTGATGTTATTTTGGTATACAGTTACTTTGCGAAATTCATTTATTTTATTTTATTTTTTTCCTTTTAAGTTTTAATAAAAGTTGTATGTAAGATTACTTTATTCCTGCATCTTCTCAAGTGTTTCTTCCTTGTATTTGCCCTTTTCCTTTCCTACTTGGCGAGATTTGGCTTTACGTTCAAGGATCTTTTTGCGGTCTTTGTCCAGTTTTAGTCTAGTGATAACCACCTTGCTGGGGTGAATGCCCACATGAACAGTTGTACCATTAGCTTTCTCCCGTTGCACTCGTTCAATGTAGATGACATATTTCTTCCTGTAAACCTGGACTACTTTGCCAATTTGCTGCCCTTTGTAATGTCCTCGAACAACCTGAACTTCATCATCCTT